GAGAGGTGAGAGGTGAGAGGTGAGAGGTGAGAGGTGAGAGGTGAGAGTGAGAGTGAGAGTGAGAGTGAGTGTCGAGTGCGCGAAATGCAGGCGAGAGTGCGATTTGTCCCATGCGCGCGCGACCCTCTGCGGAGATCGCGTCGTGGTAGACCTGGAAGAGGAGAACTGGCGACTTTGTAGTACCACTGTAGTACGCGGAGTATCTGGGGAGCTGGAAGATGAGAATTGGCGACTTGGTAGTACAACTTGAGGACGCGGAGTATCTGGGGAGCTGGAAGATGAGAACTGGCGGGCGACTTCGTAGTACAACTCCAGTACGCGGAATAGCTGGGGAGCTGGAAGACGAGACCTGGCGACTTTGTAGTAGAACTTTAGTACGCGGAGTAGCTCGGGATGACCCACAAGAGTGTCCCACAAGAGTGTCTGTCAAGACGGCGTGTCCCTTCAGAGAGGCATGATTGGTGGTATTATGTGAAATGTTGGCAAACAGTGTGTGGCGGAGTGAAGGAAACGTTACCTCTGACCGTATATCGATGGACACATCTCCTCTTGATTTCACAACTTCACGGTCACTGCTTCGCCAAACTTGTTGCGTAGCTGCCTCAGCAATTTTCTACGTTCATTCCAGCTCGGTTTGTTCGGTGAGATTTCCTGGAGGCGTGAACGCTGCTTCTCAAGGAATGGACATTCTCTGGTGGATGTAACGTCTCAACGAGGTCCGGGCTCCCAGACAGAAGACCTACGCGTTTTACTATTTCCCTTTACCAGCAGCTCAAATGCTCTCGAAGATGAGCTGAGCTGTCCGCCGGTGGGGGGGTTGGGAGGCCTGCGCGCTACTTGGTTCACTATATCTACAGTGAAGAGCTTCGCCGTTTGCCCTTACCAGCAGCTCAAATGCTCACGAAGATTAGCTGAGCTGTCACCGCTTGGCCGCCGGTGGGGGGTTTGGGAGGCCTGCGCGCTACTTGGCTCACTATATCTAGAGTGAAGAACTTCACCATTTGCCCTTACCAGCAGCTCGAACGCTCGCGACCTTGAGCGGAGCTGTCACCGCTTGCCCGCCGGTGAGGGCGTTACAGCTTTGTGTCCTTGGGGCCACAGAGACCCACAGATTGAGAAACATTGTTCACACGACGTAGGGACACACAGACATAGATGCACACACACAGAGACCCACACACTGCCTCAACACACTCGACTTAACACTTCACACTGAACACATAACACATAACTCGCACACTGACTTCATGCGTGATGAAAAATGCTTTCGGGCCACTCGTCGTCTAGTTCACTATGTATGGTTAAAGAAGGCTGGCTACAACCAAAAAGCAAGTTTTTGAGTAAAGCAAAATATTTGATATTAAAAAGCTAAAATACCTTCTGCTTTTGCTTTTGGCAGTATTCTAGTACAATAAGCCGGCAACAAAGACAAGTTTTTTCCCCAAACAGTGTGAACATACTAAGGGGTTCTTGCGGTAGTAGAAAAGCAGCTGACGCTTAGGTCGCTGAAGCGCGCGGGCGTGTCCGGCTAATTCGCTGCTATTTACAGTACACGCATGCCTCTCGAAATCGTCGACGCGCATTTCAACTGCGCAGGCTCGCTGAATCTGAGTGTCCGCGGCGGGTGCTTCTAATGACTGCGCTCTCGTTGCGGTGCCGTGTGCATTGTTGCACATGGTGATGACTTTTCGTGGCAAGCACATCATGTTTTCGTGGTTGAAAGTCGACTTTTCGTAACAGGTGCAAGGGATCGGAGCGGTTTCACTTCGAACTGCAGCTTTCGTGGCAGGCGCAGCACTTTGGACATTTCGCGACAGGTGCAGTGAATCGTTGCTTTTCGACATGCGGCTCGTTTGCAGATTTCGTAGCAGGTACAGCACTTTGCGAACCTCGACCCGCCGATTTCGTCGCAGGCACAGCACTTTGTGAATCTCGACGCGCAGATTTCGTGGCAGGTACAGCACTTTGTGAAGCTCCACGCGCAGAGCTCGTGACAGGCGCAGCACTTTGTGAACCTCGACGCGCATATTTCGTGGCAGGCACAGCACTTTGTGAATCTCGACGCGCAAATTCTCTCACTCTCACTCACACACTCACTCACACTCACACTCACTCTTGCCGCCACTCACTCTCACGCTCACTCAAACTCACACTCACACTCCACACTCACTCTCACTCTCACTCGCACACTCACTCTTGCCCCCACTCACACTCACACTCACACTCGCTCTCACTCTCACACTCACTCACTCACTCTCCCACTCTCACTCTCACTCACTCTCACTCTCACTCACTCTCACTCTCACTCACACTCACTCTCACTCTCACCCACACTCACTCACCCACCTTCACTCTCACTCCCTCTCACTCTCACTCACACTCACTCTCACCCACACTCACTCACTCTCACTCGCCTGACCATAGCCACTCTGGAGACCTATAGGTCCGTGCAGTTTTGGAACTTTGGAACTTTGGTCCCCCCACCAAAATTCCAAAGCTGCAGACCCCATGACCTGACCATATAGCCACTCTGGAGACCTAGGTCTGTGCAGTTTTGGAACGTTGGAACTTTGGCCCCCCCCAAAATTGCAGACCCCATGACCTGACCATAGCCACTCTGGGGACCTAGGTCTGTGCAGCTTTGG